CCTGGGGTTTGATATCTATTTAATAGAAAATTAACTCTAAGTTACCAGTACTGTTTCTCTCCGGCAAATGCATTTTCCAGTTCTGCTATAATCCTGTTGCTTCTCCTGAAAAACTTCTCAGTTGGATTACAGAAAGTCCTAAGGAGTACAGATGGTTTACAATTGGCCTCTCAGTCTGTTCTGCCTAAATTCCTTAAATTACTTGGAATTATGTAGATTTCTATAGAGCTAAAATCCAGTCTTGTTTTCTGCTAAGTACGTTGTTGGAGAACTAATTTAAATGTGAAAAAAAAAGTTCTTCCTATATAATCTGATCAGAATCTGCAGCAGAAAATTCAACTAATGAAATAAGTGGAGTAAAAACTTCACTGTTGATTTGTTTTCTAGATCCCATGAGTCAATAAAAGCAGACTGCAAGAAGTCTGTGTGGAAGCTGTAAATCTTTCAGCTCTTAGGGACACAAACTGACATTATTTATTTGTACCTAACATCCAGGAAAAGCTTTTTTGATATATTATATGATACCTCAATATAAATGGTTATTATTTGCTATCAATAATTTAAATTAATTAAGCATACAAATTACATTTAAAACCATGCAAATCTTCCATTTTGAATATAATTCAGGGAAAGCATATGTGCAAAAATTTTCCAGTGGAAAATGAAGGGGCCTGTGATGTCCAAGTAATTTTGAGGCCAGTGCAGTCCATCAGACTGTCTAGTGTAAGGTTAAGGTCAGGTGTGGTGCTTGCTGTTTGGGCAGAACTGAAGTGGCAGATTTTTTATGGTCTGCAGACCTCAACCAGAGAAAGGTTTTCGTGGACACTCAGAACTGGTGAGCTCCTCTCACGCACTCAGGCAGAAATTGGGAACCCTTGTTCTAAACTCCAGACCTACCTCAAATTTAACTTTACCTATAGCTTCACAGGTGAGGAAGTTAAATGTTTGAGTCCTACTGACATTAGCCCACAAGGTTCAGGAAAAAAAAAAAAGAAAAAAAAAAAGAAAACTTTAATTTTCAGATCATCGTCCCCTAAGCCCCGAAGCCTTCATTTCTTAAGATGCTGAGGTCACTCCCTGGTCACGACCCAGGGAGTGCAAAATTCCTACTCTGCTTTGCTTTCAAGTAGTCACAAGATAGAGTGGGCTCCTTGAATCTTACTTCACAGAATGCAGACAGTGCAGGGCATCTCAGGAATATGCAGAAAGTCTAGAGAAAAAAAGGAGAAGGGAGTGATATGCAGAGAAAACTGCCATCCAAACACCCAAAGTTAAAGGTGCAGCTCAAAATCAAAAAAAACCCAAAACCCAGACCTGCACAGGGAAGCAAAACAGAAGCATAAGGGGTTTAGCTGCATGATTACAAAGGAAACAAAGGAAAGTATTGCCCACAACAACAGCACGGCAGATACCTAAAAGCTAAAGGAATATATTGCTTCAGATTTCAGAAGGAAAAAAATGTAACTAACCACAGAGAATAGAGGCAGCACAATTAATGGACTAAAGGGCATGGGTATGGAAATTACTGTGTGACACAGCCACAAAACTCGAGAGGTCTCTACCTTTCTCTTCTAAAGACTGAACAATCTCTATCACTGAAATCTTTAAGATTTTTAGAGGAAATGTTAGCCGTGAGTAACAGAAGGAAGGAAGCAGAAAATGGGTTAAAGTGTAGTCTAGGTACATTACATGTAGACTAACCCAATATCTTTCTTTGACAAGATAATGATAAGATAAGATAAGATAAGATACGAACAAAGGAAAAATAATAAATCTTATCAACCTGGACTTTGGTAAAGCATTTTACTTGGAATCACCTAGAAAATTATTAGTTAAACTCAAGAAGATGAGAATTAACATAAGCACTATAAAATGACAAAGCAAGAGAACTGGGAGTGAAAACTGCTGATGGGGCTGAGAGCAAAATTATAGAACTGGAGGAATCGGTTTTAGTAATTTCATTACTTGGCTTGATGCAAAAAATGACAAGTGAGGTAACAAAATTTGCTAATGGCAAAGTTGGATGATATTTTCAATGGAGAGGAAATACTACAGGACAAATTATATGATTGTTATGCCCTAATAAGAGACATTGGATGAAATGTAACAGCATACAGTTCAGAGACATGTACTGAGAGACTGATAACATTTCTGCTGTAAATTAGAATTTATCCACTATGAACAACAGAAGAGGAGGAGCATGTGCAGGATGTAGTTATTAAAAAGATAAATGCAGTCTTATATGTAGCAAGCCATGTATTTTCAGGAAGAGAAAGTAAATATATACAAAACACTGACTAAAATTCAGCTGAAATATTTGAGCATCATTTGGGTTACTGGTGTTCAGCAAGCCTGAACTCATTCTGGAACAGGTACAGAGAAGTGACATCCAGATAATCAGAGGAATAGATAGAGAGCATGTCTTGCTGAGCTTGGCAAAATGATTGGTGAGATGGGATCTGATTCCTCTCTGTAAATACATTTGGGGTTTAGGCAGACAGAGAGGGAGAATAAGCACCAGGGGAGAAGAATCACTCACATTTATAGACAGTGCTTGTGCTAAGAGCAGATGGGCATAAGTTGGATATGAAACAGGGAGAAGGGCTCTCACTGTGAGAGGAGTAATGCTTTCAAACAGCTTCTCAGTAGGAATAGAGGGGGCAAAAAACCTAACCAGTTTTAAGGTGGATACTGAGTTTGGCATTTCTCAGTCACGTTTTTGAGGGTGTTCAGAGATTGCGTTGCCACCCCAGAAAGAAGCCACACCTGGCATAGAAAAAACTCCCATCGGCTGCCCTGGATTTGCTGCACTGACAGAGAGGTTTTTCCATTTGCAGAGGAAAACTATTCAGCTGTGTAATCTCTGGCTGCTGCGTGTGCATGACCCATTAGGTGCAGAAGATCAGGTGAGCTTGGGTGGGGGTGGCCTTGAGAGAGTTGTCTCTGTTATGCAGACTGAGGTTTTATGTCTGTTACGTACCAATGACTCACACTTCAGAGATAGCTTCCTGGGCTTATGTGAAAAGCAAACATGGAGCCTTCATGGGAAAGAGCAGATCCTCCTCATTGCCTGCTAAAACAACCATCATCAGCATCCACCATTGTGTGCTATATGGCTCCAGGGCTCTGGAATCTGACAAAGGACCCATTTCTCAGGGCCGTTCTGTGTCCCCACAAAACAATGCCACAAAGACAGCCTTGACATCTGAACCTGACAAGTAAAATTTGCTGCAGACCACCTGAAATGTCCTTTGGAAGTGAACACTTCTCTATCCATCTCCATGGAGCAGTGACTGCATGAATCCAGAGGAGAGTTCAACAGCAGCACAAGTTACCTACTTCCACAGCCAATTAGTGTCACAGATGGATAAGCTAATATGTGCACTCACAGTCCCAGGCTGTGTCCTCTGCTCTTCACAAGTGCCGCCGTATCCATCTGCCTGCTTGTCCCCTGCCAGTCTGACCCCTGCCAGCTTCTGCTCACCCACCAAATGGTCAGTGCAACTGGAATGTGGAGGCACACAAATCCATCAGTCCAGAACTGATACAGTTCCCCTTTGTAATTAAAAGCTTGTAATTTAGATGAAACTGTTACAGTTTGCAATACTTATTTACTGTACAGAAGAGGGACGTTTTCTTTGCCATGCATTAGTTGCAGAAGCCAGTGCTCTGGTAAGTGTGTCCCCTCCATGGCGCCTAGGGACTCACCAGCACAGAAGAGCTTGAAACAAGTGAAGAAGTCTCAGGGGATGAATGAGGCAAGAAGGATGATGGCCCCTCCTCACCCCCACTTTAGATCTTCTTCACAAGGGGAAGGTGAGTTAAAGGGAGAAGAGAGTGAAGGGACACAGAGGAAGAAGCAAATCATGGTGAACAAGCAGGAGAATGGAGAAAATGTACCTGGAACCAGAGAAAGGCTCTTGTGCTCAAACTGTGCTTCCAGGTAATGCCTCTTCTTGCAGTTCCCATCAGGCTTCACACATGCCCAGGGTCCCAGCTACACCTTCTTTTTCAGCAACTTCTCCCAGTAATTTTCTCAAAATACTCTTTTGCAGGGTTTTACCCTTTTTTTTTTTCTCTAAGTCCCCGAACACTCACCACCATCAGGACACACCAAATAGCCAACAAAGCTAACAGCAGGTGAGATGAACATATGTGTACCTCCAGAAACACCCACAGGCTTCTCCAAAGCTGGCAGCCAGCCTCCCTCGATGAATGACAGTGTCAGGCATCCGTGTCCCACGGAGCCAGGAACCCACTGAGCCAAGCCCTGGTGTGAGGGCAGCAGATGTGGTCACTGCTGAATCTACAGCCCCCCTGTGGGCAGGGAGCCTGGGCACAGCAGGATGAGAGGAAGCAGGAGTGCAAGGTGGCAAATGCAGCTCTTTGGCTCAAAAATGAGAGAGGAGGACATTTTGAAGAGGAGACAGGGTGTGCTAAAGGGCTGAGAGGTAAAATGTGCTCATTTGTAGGGTGTTATGCATGATTAAAACATGTAGGGGAAATGGACCAACATTCTGATTTGTCCTTTCTTGCAGATAACTTATATTTGATGTCCCATGTTAGGAACTGTGATGTAGTTGATGATTTATCAGCTGAATCTGGCTCTGCAAATGCACTCACCCCTTCCCTGGTGGGATCCTCACATGTCGAAAGGATTTAAACCATTACGTGCCTGTGGGGCAGGACAGGTGGGACCTTGACATGTCTCTCACTGCCCCGAATGGCCCAGCTGTGTCCCACGTTACCCACCCTGCCGAAACCCGCGGGGGCTGCCGGTGGACGGGAAGGGCACACCCCACAAGAAGTGCCGGGCTCCCTGCCTTCCCCACGCAGGTCCTTATCCCCGCGGATTTCGGAGAAAGCACCATTTTCCCCATTCCCCCTTCCAGGGCACGATCTCAGGGCAATCCGTCGGCGCAAGGACCGGCGCGGGCAGAGCATCCGCCAGGGCCGCGGGCGGAGCCGGGGAGGACGCGGCGCTGCCCCCGGGACCGCCGCCCACTCCCGGCCGTCCCTCCCGCACCGCCGGGGGCCGGGCCGGGCGGCAGGGGCGGTGCTGGCGGGCGGGACGGACCGACCCCGCCGAGCCGAGCCCCGCCGGGCGGGACGCAGCCCGCACCATGTCTCCGCTCCGCGTCTGCATCGTCGGCTCTGGGAACTGGTAAGTGTCGCAGCGCGGGGGGGCCTCTCTTTTTGCCCTCCTTCTTTTTCTCCCCCATTTCTTTCCTTTTTCTCTTCTTTCCTTCCTCGTCTTCTCCTCCCTCGCCCCTCCGTGGCCGGGGGCTTCGCAACAGGTGAGTGCGGGGAGCGGCAGGGCCGGGGGAGCGGAGCGTCTCCATGGTCCTGAAACCGCGCCCCCAGCCCCGTCCTGCCCCGGCTTGTGGGCTCCTGGGGCAGGGACCGTCGTCCCCCTGAGATGCACCAGCCCGTGAGAGCTGGGAAGACTGATGCTCCTGCATCACCCAGGTATGCGAGCCTCTTAAATCCTGGCGACAGATTCCAGAGAGGCCCGGAGCTGCAGCTCTGTCGCTGTGTGTGCCTGCGGCAGGGCCCAGGCAGTTCAGGTTGTAGCATTCGGCAGTGAGGAAAGCGCTGATGCTGTTTTCCTCTGAAGGAACCGGGGCACAGGATTCGTTTAAAGCCACGATGTATGGGCACCTTTCACTTCCATCCTACTCAGCATGTCCTTTTGCATCTTGGTCCAGATGCAGTCTTGTGTTCAGGTCTCCCATTTATCCTTATTCCCATTTTTATGAACATGTTTGCTACTGTTCAGTCCTTTCTAGCCTGAACAGAAGCACAGCTCTCCAGAGCTCCTTGGGTCTGAAAGACCCCACTGAAGTCAGCAAGCCCATCTCACAGGACTTTGCATTTACTTTTCTTACATTTTCTGTAAACTGAGCACAAACAAACAGATCAACATGTATGTGCATGCATTTGGGATTAGCGAACCCAGCCTCGAGGTAGTTCTGGGGCTTGTTTTTGTTCGAGGAGAGAAAGCTCCTTAAGATTTTAAAAATATCTGACAGTTAAGTGGAAGCAAGTGCCAAAAAAATCAATAGGTGAGGGAGTGGTTGCTTGTGAGCTGCTGAGAACACAGCAGAGTTAAAACACAGCTCTTCGCTTTCCTGCCTTGCAAAAGCAATCCACTGCTTTCTGAGCCCCCAGTGCATGCTCTTGCTGGATCACAGGCTCTTTGGGCACGACAGCTCTCAGACACAACCTTTCACATGGAATTGCACAGCTAAGTCTTCTTCTGGAACTCATCGTCACACATCTGGCTTTCTCTGGCCCTGTAATTTGTTTCCACATCATTTCAGGAGAGGCATCCCTCTCTCTGCCACTGTCTTTTCCCTCACCTGCCTGTGCAGGCAGTTTATTGTTCCTTCCAAGCCCCTCAACAGCTGTGACTGCATGTTTGGGAGTCAAATTTAGCATTTGGTCAGCCCACAGTCACCTTCATCATTCTCTTGCTGCACCGTCAAGCAGGGACGTCCTGCCTTTCCCAGGCTGTCCTCTTCCCATAAAAACATTCTTTAAAGTCACATAATTGTATTCCTTCAGATATGTACTTGAGAAAATTCTCTGTTTTTCCACATGTACCTACAAACTTGGAAAGAGCTACCACAGAGATACCGAGACACCAGCTCATTTAGTATTATCTACTTATACTGCATGTCTGCCTGGACCCATCTCTTGCTTCCCACTATGTACGTAGACTGTTAATTCCTCAGGGAGGAGATAAACATTGTGGTCTGATGTTTGAATCACATCTATTCATAGCCTCAGTGGCAGAACAGGTTGTTTTAGCACAACGTAGAAATACGTTTACCTTCGGCAAACATTTTTTTTCTTATGTTCCTCCTGAATATTTGGGTGGCAGCTCATATCTGTGTGCTCTTGAGGCTTTCCTGCAGCTCAGAATTGTGGTTGACACGTGACACAGCATGCTGCAAAAGCTCATGTCAGCTGCAGAAGTTCAGCAGGTCATGGGGACTTGCTAAGTCAACACTGCCAGGAGGCTCATGAGTGATATGGTTGAGTGAAGCAAGTGCTGCTCTGCATTTTATGGTTGCCAGTCAGGTGCAGGAGGGTTTGTGGTTATGTTAATCATGGCTCAGTTATCCGCTTTTAAAAACAGAGGTTTAGTTCACTGCTTGGCCCTTCAGAATCCAAAAGCTGTCCCAGGATTAGATTCATTGGGGCTGCAGAGTCCTCAACAAGGATCCAGCTTGAACTGGATTCTTGTCTTCAGCATGGACAGATAACCAGGCTTTTTATGGAGGTGCACGGAAGGAAAACGGGAGCCAGTGGTCATAAATTGAACCAGAGAAGGTTCTGACTCAATATCTAAAGAGAGGAGAAAATAAACAACTATGAGAACAATAAAGCATTGGGGCAGGTTGCCCAGAGTGGAGGTGGTCCTTGGAGAGTTTTCAAGACTCAACTGAACAAAGCCCTGAGCAACCCATCTGAACTCAGTGATGTTCCCATGCTGGAGACCTCTTGTGATCCCTTCAAATCTGAGCAATACTATAATTCAAAAAATTTTTTGTGGTTTTCTAAGGAAGAGACTGTAAGAAGACATAATCTTCAAGCACCTAAAGGAAAACAATATGACACCCTTCTAGAACAGAAATAGGCTTAAATTGCAGTAAGAAAGACTTACTGCAATTTGAGGAGGATCTTTCTAATGTTCAGGATTGCAAAGTCCTGGGATGGGCCAGTTGGGGAAGAGAAGAGACCTGCAGTCGCTGGGGTCTTTAAGACCTATTTGGAAAAACTATTAGGAATGGCTTAAGTATATTTGGCTGCCCTGTGCAGAACGAAGGGACCAGCTGCTTCCTGGGCTCTGTTAAGCTCTACTTTTCACCAGATCTGATATATGCTACAAACACTTCCATGTTCACAGACGTAAATAATGGGTCTTATTCTATATCAAAGCTTTCTCATTATACTGATAGGAAATCTCCAGATAAAAGCTTTCTTTCTCTTAGCAATATGTAGATCACTTTCAACATGAATTAAATTAACCGGGGTGGGGGGGGGGGGGGAAATCTGATTGGCAGTTTTCACTTACTTTTTAAAATTATTCAAGTGGAGTTCTCTGCCTTCTATTAAACTTCACTGAATTGGGTTTCAGAGAAAATAAAACAAATAATGGCAAAGTCTTTATACATGAGTGTCTCTGGTTTTGTTTGCATAAGCAGCCCTCTTTTGCCAAGCCTGTGTGGTGTGCAGAACATAGCCTTGACAGACAAAGCAATTCTTTTTCCCAGGGCTGATCAGTGGTAATGACAGCCCTGCTAGAAGATCAGATTTATCTACTAAGAGTTGTGTGTCCCATTCAAGATTTCAGAAATTAGGGCTGAAGTCTATATCTTTAAACAGAAGATCATATGTTCTTGGTACATAGGTAGGAAAGTTATTTTTATGGATAAGCTTGAGGTCCAATTTCATCATCCAGGTTGTGCTGGACAACATGGACAATGAATTTAGATCTCAAGTTTATAAAAAACCAAACCCTTTTCTTATTAATACATATGACTTGCACAGAGCCACAATTCATCCTCAGCTCAAGCTTTGATTGTGCTTTCTGTCGATAGCAGGGCAAGAGAACCAGAATATAAGTAATTTTATAAATAACATGAATGTATGTCTATAAATAATATGAATGTATGATAGAACTGCATGACTTTCTTTCAAAACAGCAGAACTCTTACAGTAAAGGTTCACCTCTAAAACATTTCCCTAAACACTGTAAAGGACCAAAACCAATCAACCCTTACAAAACAAAACAAAACCTGAAAACAAAAGGAAAAACCCCAAACCAGCCAAAAAACTGCCCTAACTAACTAATTAACTAACTAAAGCATTATGAGAGCTCCGGATACAGCATATAGTTAACACTGATCTCAGTAGGATTTCTTTATCATTAAAGATTAAGCCCTTGGGCTTTTACTATTATTGAGCAATTCAACCTTGTGTAAACCTGTTCTATCAAAAATATGGGTGAGCTAAGGAGATACAGTTACAATGAAGTTGCCCTTTGAATCATTGACAGCACAGACCTACCTGGACTTTGTCTTGGATATTCTCAAGAATTTTACAAGTTCCAGAAAACATACCACAGCTAAATCCTGTTCATGTTTCTCCTTGAAAGTGTGTTACAAGTGGGACAGAGTACAAGTGTTGCAACTGGAGCTTCTCTTTCAGTTGTGTTAGTAAAATAAGCAATATTTGAAAGATTGAAGTAGCTTTAAATGGAGAAGGAATAGAGGAGTAAAAATAATCACCTCTCTTCCACATATAATTTAAAGAGCATTAAGCAATAGTTCCAATATTTTCTGCAGGGTCTTTAATTCTCTCTTGCCAAGAAAATAAGTGAGTGTTTGCAAGGCTGCAGTGGTGATGGGGAAGTAAAATTATTGTCTGACCTGAGATTAAAAAATGCTTAGCATGACTCAAGTAAACTGGATGGTTAAAATATCCTCAGGGTGCAAGTATTACAGATCCTGTTACAGTGATAATTAGAGCAATAAATAAAGAGAAACCATCAGGTTGAAGGGTTGCTTGTTTTTTTTCTGAGGATTTAGCGCTTACATAAAATCTTTATTGCAACTCCTTGGTTATGGATAGGAAAGTGGGATGCATCTATTTTAGATGAAATGCACAAAGGCTGTCACAGTGAGATCACTCAGCACTGCTTTACCACCTGGATTATTTTACATTTGTTGGTCTTCAGGAAATAAGGAATTATTTGAGGAGAGGGAGACATTTTAATCCCAGACACTGTATTTTTAGTACTGTTGTTAGTACATCACACTCCTGCTCTATAGCCTTTGATGTGACTTCAGATCCCTTATTACAGTTATGTTTTCCCTGGTTCTACTTTCTGTGCTTTTGAACTTGAGGGGCTTTTGATGAAGGGGAGTAGATAAAGCTTTCTGAAAAATGTCACAAGCACCTGAACAGCTGTATAGCACAGGCCTTTTATGAGTTATGATGTTTAAAGTAACTTGCATTTCCAAATCACAATAAAACTACTTTTCACCTTTTAATTATTTATTTATTTATTTTTTAAGGGGATCAGCTATAGCCAGAATCATTGGCACAAATGTCCAGAAGTCCAACAGATTTGATCCTACTGTCAAGATGTGGGTGTTTGAAGAGATCATCAACGGAAGAAAACTCACAGAAATAATCAACCAGGAACACGAAAATGTTAAATATCTACCTGGATACAAGATACCCCACAATGTGGTAAGTTGAAAAAAAAAATTAGAAATCACTGAATTTTTTTTTTTTTTTTAAATAAGGGAGGCATCATCTGAAAAAATAAAAAGTGGGAAGAAATCCACTGCTTCATTCTGGTTTGTCACCTAACTCATTCCAATATAACTCCCTGGAATATAATTCACTTCTGTGATTTCTCCTTGTCTCGTACGTCATGCCCAACTTCAAACACTCGTATCTGTGCTGGTGACGCACCATCCTCCTCTCTGGCAGACATCAGCACAACTCTAGAAATGGCAAGCAGAGATCTGTCTACACAGAGCTGAGATACTTCAAACCCACGGCATCTTCTGGAGAACAGGGAAAGCTACTGATCTCCTTTCTTCTGAAAAGGAAATCAACAGCACAGCTAAGGGCTGTGGCTTACAAGGAGATGAGTAATGAGCTATTGGCTCATGGGTGATTTCAGGATAGCTATAATTAATAACACTAAATTCCAACAAAAATATAAGGTATTTAATTTTCATGGACATTTAATATACCAAGTTATGCATCTCTACTTAAATTATTCAGCTTACATAATTTACTACTACTGAAGCAAGTGAGGTGAGGGGTTTTGGCTGTCTGAGGTTTTGCCAAATACCACTGCTTTGTGAGTTAAAGAAAGTAGCGCCACATTTCTGGAGCAGTTGCAGTTGTAAAGGGAAGTTAAAACCCTGCACGTGATGGGTCTCCTTGCTTGGGAGTGGTTATATTTAGTGCTCCATTTAGTGTTGCAATTGCATATTTGCACTCCCGGTGCTTGAACTTGGCACACAGTTCTCCTGGGTTACTGTGTTTTTACAACAGTTGTCACTATTGTTTTTACAACCTTCTAGTAGATCAACAGGCTTGTCATCATCACTTGAGGTCAGCCTCACCCTGTTTAGAGCAAAGTCTGAGGCTTCACCAGCAGAAATGAGCTAGTTGCAGTAGAGCCTGGAGGGACCCTCACACCATTTCTGATTGAGAAAAAAAATTCCCAAACAAACAAGCTCACTTTTTCCTTACATTGCTTTGCAGCATTTTGGAGAGACAGGAGCCCTTCCTGCACAGCACTGCCAGCCTCTGCTCCGCTTCCACTTTGTTGTTTTCCCAGAGAAGAAGCCTGGCTGGCACCAGTTCTGATTCTCCCGCTGGCAATCGTGCTTGCTTAAAGCTGTGTGCTCCAAGGCTGCATCCAAGTGTGATGTTTTCACCAACTGTAAACTGCTTGTTCTAGCAGGCTCATATTCACCTGCTCTTGCCTCTGTGGTCTGGCTTGAATTGTTCTGAGTAACACTGGTATTTGGAGAAACATACAGCCAGCGAGTCACTAAGCACATTGTAACTATTGGTAAAATTACTATATATTTAAAACAAAGTCACATAACCCCGCAAAGATGATGATAATCTCTGCCTTTTGATATAGTTTATTATTTATATTAGTTTTAATAATATATGTTATGATTGTAGAGTTTATTCTTGAACAGCCATTGATGTATGGAAACTAAAGACTGTGAGAAGGGGCTCTGTCTCACCACTCCAGTTTGCTCCCCTGTGCTACCACTTATTCCAGAACCATATGGAGTTCTTCAGTATATTCAGGAATCACCTCCAGGAGCTGAACTAGCAAAGGGGCTTCCTAGGACACCACAAGTTTAGAAATTACATCATCTTCCCCAGATTATCCACACAGGGATGGGATAAATTATATTAAAAAAAAATTATAAAAAATCCAAACCTAGGATAGTTTGGCTGCTTTGTATATTTCAGAAGAGATCTGTAGCTACTCACATGGAGAGCTGGCAGCTATGTCACAGGGTCATGTGGTTAAAATTAAGGACATTTGCACTGCATCTGCCATGGCTTTGGCACATTGGTATCTTGCAAGGACTGAGGATTTCTACCTGAGACTCATTTTGGTTGTCCCTCTTGTCCCAGGTGGCTGTACCAGATGTGGCTGAAGCAGCAAATGGGGCAGATATTTTAGTGTTTGTTCTGCCACATCAATTCATTGGACGAATCTGTGAGCAGATTGCAGGACAGATAAAACCTGGAACATTTGGGATTTCCCTGATCAAGGTAAGTTGTTGTCTCAACAATTCCCAATCTGTAGAGTAAATAAACAGCTTCAGCTTAAGGGTAGGAACTTTAGAGTTACATCTTACCTAGCTCTGCCAGCACTTCTGCTGCTTTCATGGCTGTGGAGAGGGAAGGATGGGGCAACCCATCCAGGCTAAGAGTATCTCTGTCTTTGCCAATCATCTTTAGCCTGGATCAGTTCCCATTTGGACCACCATGGAGGTGAAAATGGACAGAGGGAGAGCTGCATAAAGCTGGTGCTGCTGCCAAAAAAAATACTCATCAGAATACGGCGTCAATTAACTCTTAACTGAGAGTGCTGAATTGAAGGGCCTCTTCCAAGTACATGCTAAAGCTGTTCTTGGCAGCATTTAAACAGCACAATAACACTCATGATTTTGCAAAATTGAAGCAATTTCAGTCTGGCATGAATTAAGGAATCTCTTTTTAAGGTTAGAGGTACCAAATTATTGTAATCTTAAAAAAGAATTAATATTTTGAAGAAAATGTCAAACTAAAAGCCAGAGGCATGGCATAGAAATATAGTCTTAACACTTCTTTTCGCTGCATTATAGGAAATATCCCAATTAAAGTTGTAATGAAAGAAATGTAATTCAGGTTTTCAGACTACAACACCAGCTCTTCCCCTTTTATATTTCCCCCTTATATAAATTACATCACAAGCAGCAGTAAGCAGAGGAGAGGAAGATGGGAAAGAAAGGAAATTCCTGCAAATTTACGACCTTCTTTAACTTTAAAAAAACCCAGATCATTAAAAACAAACAAACAAATGACAGTTCAGTATACTCCTCAATACCAAAGAAACAATCAGGTTAACACTGAAGAAGCCACTGCTCATAGGCTTATTTTAAAGGTTTGATTCTGTACTACAGGAATTTAACAGAAAGGAAAAACACAGAACCAAACAAAGCAAGCCTTGGGACAGCAGCACTGGATGTGAGGCCTCTCGCAAGGTTACCTCGACTGCCACTCCTTCTCCCTGAACTTGCCTTGATTTTGCAGTTATGAAAGTACAAACCCAGGGTATTTGCATTCATGGCTAACACTAGTGAATATAAGACCCCATTTTTTTCCAATTAAAACAAGAGCTGCAGGCAATAGAATACCTTCTACTTTACCAGTGGTCTGCTGCTGTCATTTTCCTGTTCTAATACCTTGGCTTTGACTACTGTCTTTTATTTAGGGGATTGATGACGGTCCTGATGGCCTGAAGCTCATCTCTGACCTCATTCGAGAGCACCTGAAAATAGAAATCAGTGTCCTTATGGGGGCCAACATAGCCAAGGAAGTGGCTGATGAGAAGTTCTGTGAAACCACCATTGGTAACTATTGCAAAGAGTCAATTTGAACTGGTAGCTGGAGTTTAGTATCACCTGTGGCTGGGCAACAAGATAACATCTGGAGGAAGCAGGGGGATGTGACAGGTCCCTGGTGGTTCCAGAGTGGAGCAGTACCTGCTGAGTTCCTTCAGGGAGGCAGGATTATTTCCAGAGAGTTCAGTGCTAGAAGGAATAGATTCAAATTGACAGTGAGTTTTTCAGTGCTAGAGCTAATTTAATCCATTAAAAAAATCACAGCTTAGTCCTGTTTCTGTAGGAGTTGGCAAGAGCCACGTTTTGTGTCTTAGAGCTCAACACTGAGTACATTGGCAGCTGATACACTACACAGTCTAGATAGAGAAGTGTAATCAGAAGCTCCTATGTGCTCACACTCCCAGAGGTGTATTTCTCCATCTTCACATTTCTTTCTTTGGAAAAAACTCCCAGTAACATTCTGTTCCTTCCTCCCATTCAGACTGCTTGCCAAGACACGGCCTCAGATCCTCCCAGACCTGGGTCTGACCTGATTTGGAAAGTTCATCCAGTAGTTTTTAAAAACCATTGATTTTTAAACTCAGTCAAAATTAAAGTTACATCCTTCTATAGTTGAGGAGGCAAAAGAAAAATAAACTGTGTTGCAATAGTGTTCCTGTGCCTTGCAAATGTTACAATAATAGCAAAAACTGTACCAGCTGGGTATTTGTTGCTGGCAAGCAACTAGGCCCAAATAGGACCAGATATGATTAGGAGATCTGAGCTATATTAATTTTCCTGGAGGGAATTTAACTTCTGCTGGCCTGGTTTGAAGCCATGTTGTGATGATCACTGTGCAAAGAGCTTTGCCCCTTGCTTTTGTCCTCAGGGAGAGCCATGCAGCCCAGAAACAGCCACCTCAAAGAGAATTGGTATTGTGAAGAATGAGAAGCAAAGCTAAAGTTTCTCATAAGATTGGGCAGAAACCGCCCAGTTACCACACAAGAGTGTGGTGCCCCAGGCCAGTAAAATCATTGCTGAGCTCTCCCTGAAGGAAACCAAGCTACCTCCTATAAAACTTAAGTGGAACTCAAATCAGAAATCTATGCCCAGCAGGCCATGGGTTCTCTGGATCAAGGCAAACCTCAATCCCTTTACCACTTGGGGCTCTCCTTGGGCAAGCACTGTAAAGACATGATATGTGGCCTCCATAGAACTGGTAGGAAAAGGCTTCCAGTAGTGCACACTTTCAACTTCATTATCTGTGGATCATTCTGTAATAATAAATAGGGCAATAATAATTTGTGTTCCATAATAGTACTTAGCAGTGACACGTTACATTTTCAGAGCAGAAATTATACCAGAAAGCACAGAGAGTGGTTTGTAAATAATATCTTTTGTAAGGTCTGTGGTTTTACAGTGAATGCTGCATTAGGAGCCATCTACTTTTAAGCTCTTTAAAATGTTACTAAGCGATGATGGTCAATGCTCTGGGGCTTGCCTGCATTTAACACCGGCTTCCAGCAGTGGGAACTGCTCTGGTTTAGCAACACCCAGTTACTGAGATCACAAAACCTGAAGTAGTCCCTGGAACCTTATGTCAGGTTAAGCTTAACTGTGTGCACTCTGAAACACGTGAAAACGTTCTAACTTTCATGCTTCCTCCCCACAGGCTGCAAAAACAAAACACAAGGGGAAATCTTTAAAGAGTTAATGCAGACTCCCAATTTCAGGATTACTGTGGTGCCTGACTCCGATACAGTGGAGCTTTGTGGAGCCTTAAAAGTGAGTGATTTCGAACCAGAATGTTGCACTAGGGCCAAATCCTACCCTCACCTGAGTCTTCTGTAAGCCAGGGGTTCTAATTTGACTCCTGTCACCATGTGATTGAATGAGCGCAGACAAGTTACAAAGTTTATGTGCCAGTTTTTCAACGTGGAAAACAGAGAAAATCAGAATTAATACCAAAACTACCAAGTTTCCAACGAGGAGGCACTTCAGTGAGATTCTATATGTGCTGAAAGTGACTTCAGACTGTGATCCTTTCTGCTTTTTTATTTGGAAGTGGAAGGTGGGAAGGGAGAGGTACAGAACAATGGTGAGGAGTTGTTAAAGGTGTTTAGGATCCACAAAAATATGTTTAGAGCTGTAGAAAAGGGCAATTCTACTCATCATTTTTGTAGGCAAGCCCAAAATTTGATCTATTGCAGCATCTGCATAGAACCCATGCCTGCTCAAATCAGAAACCCTCAGAGAAAACCTAGAAAGGTGTGGGACAGTTTAAATAGTTAAATAGAAGAAAGGTCAGTGAGTACTGACTTGGAACTAGCAGAAGAACAAAACATTAATGGCATACATGTTACATGATTGCAACATCAGTGTATAAAACAAGCTGCTTTGATTTTTGCCCACGGGAATAACAGTAGGTACTTCAGAAAAATTTTCTAGAAGTCCAGTGACTTTTGTCCAACACTCACTACCTGGCCCCTTTCTTCATAAGATAAACCTGTGGCCATCGGAAATTGAACCTTGTTCTGATGAAGACAGAGTTGTGGGATTTTCTTAGAGCTCAGTGCACACCTTGCCTGACTGTTTCCTTCCCTCTTTGTAGAACATCGTGGCAGTGGGAGCTGGGTTCTGTGATGGACTGAGTTTTGGTGATAATACCAAGGCAGCAGTGATACGCTTGGGCCTCATGGAAATGGTGGCCTTTGCCAAGATGTTCTGCAAGGGACCAGTGTCAATAGCCACATTTTTGGAAAGCTGTGGGGTTGCTGATCTGATCACTACCTGCTACGGGGGACGCAACAGAAAAGTAGCAGAAGCCTTTGCTCGCACAGGAAAGGTAAGGAGGATTTTGAAATACTTTACACTAACGTATGAAGAAATCCTTCTGTGTTTTACAAAGGTATCATTAGCTGTTTATCTTCTTGATAACTGCTGGTATCACAGCAGTATCCCCTCTGATCCAAGTAATCAGTCTTCTCTCTTCTAGTCCATTGAGGAACTGGAAAACGAGATGCTGAATGGACAAAAGCTGCAAGGTCCTCAGACCTCAGCTGAAGTCTACAAGATTCTGAAACAGAAAAATATGCTGGATAAGTAAGTGCTTTGACTTAAAAAAACAGCTGAATCAACAGCAAATTACAAGTGTTTCATAGCCTCCTTAGCAGTACTTGCGTTTAATTATCTGCAACGACTACTTTCTACAACGTGGGCCACTAGTAGAGCCTGGCCTGACTCCTCATTGCCATGGTCAGCTGAATAGGATGGAGGCTGAGCAGCATTAGAAGAAACAAGTCACAGACATGGAGAGGGTTCAGGGGATACTGTTAGTGTCTAAGAAAAGACAGAGAAATGAGAGATCACATACTGGAAATGCAAGGAAAACAATCACAGAATATTCTGAGTTGGAAGGGACCTACAAGGATCATCGAGTCCAACACTTAAGTGAACGGCCCATACATAGGAAACAAAAGAAATAATAATGTAAAGGAGCCTCCCAGACATCCCCATCTCCCAAACAAGATTGAAGGCCATACTAAGAGTCAGCCTGCAGATATGATGTGTGGGTTCAATCTGTGATCAAAGGGTTTCTTGTTCTCAGTGTATCACCATTGCAGCTTGCAGCAGTCCTGCTCTCAGTGCGAACCTTAACTTGGTTATCTCAGTACAAAATTTGAGAGCATACTCCTAATCAAAATTTTTACATGCCTTAAAAGGTAACATGTGCCAATATCAATGCTTTAGTACCACAAATACTGCTGAGATAAAAAGTACCTCTAATTGTTTGGGATGATGTAAGATTACTTACAACTTGAAACCTTTGTCTCATCTTACACAACAGAAAACCTAAACTTCCCTCCATCCTATTCCCTCCCATCCATTAGCAGTACTGAGAGGTCAAACACAGCTAAATGAATACTTAAAAAAAACCCCAACCCTCTTGGAATTATAACAGATACAGAAGATTCAAGTACCTTTATCTTTCAAAAATGAGAGAGAAAAGGGAAGCTCATTTTGACAGAATATGAACTTTAAATACAACTTGATCCAATATTATCCTATAATTGCACTTAGTTACATATTCAGCTCCAAGTCATTCAGTGGACTCATTTTTTTACCACATAATGACTAATTCATCTTATAAAAGGAAAAGAATCCTTTAAGCCATGAAAAGAAAATCATTAGACATTTTCATTCTTTGTAGTCCTTTAGATACCAGTAATGACTGCAAATAATACATTCACTTTGCACACAGCAGGAAAAAGAGAACATGCAATTCAAGACTGTTTTTAAATAAAAAATATTGGATAGGAATTTTGTCTCCAAGATAGCTTTTCTCTGCTATCACTCCCAAGATTTGCCCCTAGCTTCTCTCCATTGCCCTATGTAGTCTTCCAGTAAAGGCACCTCCAAGTTAAAAGTATATTGTAAAGAGAGACAAAATTTTTTCACTTTCAATATAACAACAATATTTTTTTTCCATTAAAATGGAATGGAAATGTACATATAAACTTTAACAACTTTTTAATTGCTATGTGCTTCTTTTAGGTTTCCATTATTTACAACCATCTACAAGATCTGCTACGAGGGTCAAGCAATCCAGGATTTCATCATGTGCCTGCAGAACCACCCAGAGCACATGTAGAGATCCCCTCTCCTCACCTGGCTGCATTCTCACCTTCCCGAGACTTCTGTCCACTACCCAGCAATTAGGGAAACAGGTTGTGTGACAACACTTGCTGTAAAGGCAGCAAAGAATGTATTTCATTATCCTTGTTCTGGGGGTAAAAAATCTGCCTTTAATTTCAACATTATACCCAAGGAATAGGAAATGAATGTAAAATTTAACAGTATGAATTAATAACGTGGGCATTTCCCTAGAATTCCTTTCTTGTTGACTGAAAACAGTTCCCCTTCTAATTTCCATAACAAGATCCTAATATAGCTCATGAGAACCTCAACATTTTGCCTACTAATGCAATCACAGAACAGCACAAAATAGAGAAAAATTGAAGAACTCATTCAAAGAGACAAATTATAATTTAAAAAAAAAAAAAGCTCCGACAGCAGTAACATGCAATCACATGGGCAAATGTTGGGGTTCCATAATTCCTCTTGAACACAAATAACATTTTTTATTTTGTGACGTTTAGGCCCTCCTTGGTTTCATTTCCCAGTATAAGCCTCTCTGGAAAAATCAATATTGTTACTGTGCTCTGACACGCACAAGTGTTCAGCAGATGTATAAATAAAATGGTTTAAGTGTGGGGGAAAGGAGAAATAAGGGGTTTTGGATGGGGGTACTGTTTCAAATTTGGGACCCTAGGAATCATCAGTAGTAGTCTGACCTTCCTTATAAACTTACTGTATTCCTTTAAGATACAGAAAAAAAATTTGAAATAACCGAACACCTTTCTGTTCGCATCAGATTTTCTCAGCAAGTCTTCATCATGAATTGGTACCAGCTGAGAGGGGAGAAGTGGAGGCTGGCAGGGAGGATGGAGGCACAGCTCAGCTTGCACCTTGTGCACTGCTGTTATTTTGAGGGCGTAAAGAATAACAGTGAAAAACCCTTGGTGGTACTTGACTTTTATACAAGTATGAAAACGACCGCTACAGACGCACAGAAATCCATTTGAAACGGGGCTGCATTTTAACTCCACTGGGAAACTCCACTGGTCTGACTCCAGTGCAGCAACCCATGCCTTTCCAGACTGCAGAGTAATGCCCTGATCCTGATTAAGCAACACATCTTACACCCCACAAGAGAGATCTCCATCTACTTCTGAATTTTAAACACAACCTGGTGCATATGCCAGGGGTTTTTTTATCGTGCTACCAATGGCGTAAACTTTAGAACCACTGAAGTTTTTAAACCTTATAGTTGTACTTAGGTAACTTTACATACCTGATGTTTTTCAGAGTTAAAATCATCTACAAAATGAACAATGGTGCATTTTATAAGCTTTAATACCCTTTTGAAACACTCCTATTTTGAGAGAAGGCAAACAAAAAGGAAGAGTAACCTACTTTTGCTGTGCTTTATCTGATTTTTCAAAATAGCAGAGAGGAAGGCAAGTGGGTTTTTTTTAAGCTATGTATTCACGGGTAGATTGTTTAGAGGAAAAAAAAAAGATTATAAAATCATTTCAACTCATTATAGAGGAATATTATCAGAGTAATATATATACGAATGTATTGTAATTACAAATATATTGTAAAAATCTCAGTCTCACAGCTAGCAAAGCTAGCTCAAATACCAAACAATGGCTGCAGCACCCCTGATCCCTGCTGGACAGCAGCAAAGGCAGCTCAGCTTCTCCCGCTCAGACTCCAGTCACAGCCAATGGCTCGAGGCTCAGAGGGCAACACCAACATTCCTTCCACTGAAATGGGAATCATGTGGCCAAATCCTTTTCACAAAAGCAGGGAATTTATGATCTTCAATTTCAAGTGGAAAAGTAACATATATTGCACAGTTTTAAAGTATCAAATACATGAGGGTGGGATAGAGAATTCAGGAACCTCCTTACTTCACCATCAGGCTGAATTTCTGATAAGTCATGTATGAGCTAATAATAACATAAAACATTTTACATTCAAAGTGTATCAAATAACAGTTTAATAAAGTGATCAATATGAAGACTTGATGTAATTTCATTTTTCAACATTCTTACAAAATAAATTACTGTTGTAATAGTGGTCCTTTACTGCGCTTACTCTTGCAGTTAAATCATCATCAGCTCTCAAAGAAAAGGACAAAAAGAATCAATTTTCTACAGACATTTTATTGATGAACAGTCCTGTCTTTTTTTTTATAACATACCTTTTTTAACCAGTAAAATAAGTAATTTTTTTCTCCATAAATAACACAAATTAGCCCTTATATCTCAATCCAGCCAAAATCAGTGTAAAATACCTAGTTCTATATTTACATTCTGTAACAAAATAGGAAACACATGTTCAAGGTCAGCCAGTTCTCTCAAAACAGTCGTTTTATCTCCAAGGTAAGCTTCATATTTGAAAGGCAACATTTGCACTTTGAAAGTCTGGTAGTGTAAGATCACATTATTCAGTGTACAAATAGCCCCAAATCCTGAAGACCAATACACACACATGAGCAGCACCCACACAACCAGACAAGCAAAAACTGGGGCTTCAGTCTCACAGGGAAAAGACCTTGAGCTGCTCAGCTGGCTGAAAGTCACTCCCTGGAAATGAGGGGAAGAAAGGACATACGATTCCCTCTCTATTGGAACACAATTAAGCAGCAAGATTTCCAGTACAGGAAGATTTAAAAACAACTGGCCCTCATGAGGAATTGTGGAGATATCTGCTCTTAAGTGACATAAGTCTTCCCAATTCACTAAAGCACAGTAGAAAGAATGAGCTGCTTTGGACTGACAGTCAACTAATGGGGGACATGGTTCTCTTTCAGTAATTAACCTACACCAAAGGCCATGACAGTCTCCCAAGACCTCAACTCATTTCAGGAGGAATGAATTGCTGCTTTTCAGTGTGGTTTTACCTGCTGCATTCTCCAGCCAAAAGCTATAATTATTTCTTGTAATTGAAACACTAGAAAAATGTGTTCCTAAAGTATGACTTCCCTCGACTTCTAATTGAAATGCTTTGAACTACTGGGGTCAGAAAAGTCCACAAGACTAATTTATTTCCCTAAGCAAACATGGAATGTTTTTTTAAAAATTAAAACTGTGGACACTACATACTGAAAATGTTTCTGCTACAGGTAAGCTACCTCATGTATCTCTTAGCACAACTTGTAGGGCTCCTGGTGCCCCATTTACTCTGGTGAGAACACAAAGGCTTAACTGGGCTACATTTCAAAGTTTTCAGGCATAAGAGATGCAATAGGATAGACTGGCCACCTGCAGTCAGGACACCTCACGGAGCTGCCTGCAAACTTCATATTTATTTAAAAGCAATTCTGATTTTTACAGCATAAACTACACTTAAGGCTACACAACTGATTGGTATAAAGCTACATTTTTAGCTATGTTCTACACTCAAAAATGGCTTATGCTTCCTACTGTATTTACTTTATTCTTAGAAACCTGAGACATGTTTTTACTTAATTCATCTTAAGATTTGGAAGTTCACAGCAGGCTAGAAGCTGAATGCAAAGACGAACACAACTGAGGTAGTCAGCTTTACTCAAATATTCTTTATGATGATTACCAGTTCGTTGTCACTTTAAATTGAACTTGACACATTCCTTGGCAGTTCCCACAAGGCTACAGCTGCTAACAGCTGCTAGCCCACTGATGGGATACAACACATTGCATTTTTCTGACTCGAGTACTTTCCCCACCTGACCCCCCAAAGTCACGTCCAGTTCTGCAGTTCACAGCCAGCTGAAGGGCTGCACACCAAAGAAATTACGACTGAAATCTCAGATTATTAAGGCAGTAGCAGTTTTACTTCACTGGATTCACTGATGCAGCTACTCAGCAGGTACTGGTGATCCTGACCACAAGAGCTCCCATAGATTTTTCCCTGTCAGTACAAAGCACTACAGCCCCTTTCTTTAATTAATGCATACAATTCAGAAGTAGGTAAGCATCAACTCTCTAAGCCATCTTTCAGTTAATTCTCAGGAAAAGAGATTAAAAGAAGAAAAACTCTCAAGATAAACAACTGTGTAGAAGATAAAAATATTCAATTAAATATAACAAATCTCACATTTACACAGACAGGAGACCAGCATATCAAATACTGAGCACAATAAATTAACACCAGTTAAAAAGTTTAACAGGTATAAAGTTAACCAGAAAGTTCAGACAGTGCAAATATTCCACAGTAAGGAAAAATAACCAGTAATTTTTTTTCAAGTATCAAAAGCATTGTTGTTGAGGAATACTATTTCAACTGTATTATTGCACAACAGAAAAAATACAATATCAACCTCTGGGACCTAAGATGTATTCTCAAACCTTTATGTTTTCAAGGAACCAATTTATATCGACTGTTTTGTGGACATATTAACATGATTAGTGTTCACTTATCAATCTTAGTGTTCCATAATTTGAACTTGCACAAATTTAAAGCGTTAAGAGTCCTGACTTGTATTGCTTCTCTGTAACACTGGTTTAAGTCTAGCCTAGGCCTTGTATAATTCAAAGCAAACTTAACTTGCAGTCAAGAAGGGGACATAACCCAGTGTAAGGTACTCTCAACTGTGATGCCTTCAGACAGTTTTAGGTTGCACCTCACTTGCCTCAGCAGTGTCATAAGAGTTTCTTTAAACAAAAAAAACAACAAACAAGTCCAGTAGGCACTAAGAATTTCTTACAATCATGATGGAAGTCCTTTAATAATTTAAAGTTTAATTATAGCTAAGCAAATTTTACTCCACCTCCCTACTTTCCATTTTAGGAAGGGATCCAGTCACTGACAATTCTAATATCACAGTACATTTAAGAAGCAGAGTAACGTCATCTTTGCACTTTTCTAGTGCACTGGGCATGTCCATTCCCTCAAGTTTAACACTCTTCCAAAGCATGAAAACTATCCTAAAAGGACAGACAGTGGATTGAATCACGTGACAGTTTCTTTTACTCTAAACGGGATTATTTGTTATACATTATAAAACCATCCTTACAAGGGTCCTATAGAGCAGCTCTCCTTAGCTTGAGATTTACTCCTTTCCTTCCTCTTCTTTATTTTCTCATTATTAGTTTTGTAGCAAAGTGTTCCTGCAAGTGTTTCAAAACATCTGATTCTCAACTTATTGCAAATACTCAAATAATCCATAGTATTTACATGTGCAAGAAAAAGTGGAGGTGGAAAATAAAAAAAAGGAAAACAGATTAGATTTTCCTTACACATTCAATATAGTTTTTGGTCTAGAGACATCATCATGGTCCTTTAAGATTATAGCTGCCATTGCTACTGGTTTGCCCTTCAACAAAAAGTGAAAACATTTGAAGTTATGTTCATACTATTTAAGAAACAATAATGCCATTATTCATTATTTAAGAAACAAACCAACAAAATAAAAAGTGATCATAAATTCTATCCCAGTTTTACGTCTGGATATCAGTACTGAAACATATTTGCCCAGCAAATTACTCTGAGAATATTGAAATATTTTATGTAATAAATTTCACAGTAGAACTGGCACATGCTAAATGAGAATGGAATTTCTAGACAGTTGTCTTCATTATCAGTCTGAAACTCCACTTTGTGCATGTAGGAATATGCAAGTGAACCCCAAGAATTAGCTGCTTTACCTAGTACGAATTCTGAGAAGCCTCAAAGCTGCAAAATCAAGTTGTGGTGACAACTGCTAACCACTGGTCTATCCCATTAAATTATTCCTTCACCCATAAATTGTAAGAATTGACAAAACAAACAAATTCCCAACCTGTTCAGGCCTGGGTTATTAGCAGTGACAACAGCTTATTTTTACATGGCTTTCAACTAAACCACTGAGGTATATTTCCAGTTTGAGGATACTTTGCTACTAGTCACACAACAGACATAACAAAAAAAAAAAAACAAACCACCAACCCTTAGTTCTATTACAGAAGAGTTCTTGTTTCAGATCTTAACTGAATTGCCAGGTAGTCTAACACAGTTGGCATACTGGATCTTGTTAGTGAGTCAAAAAAACCAAAGGTTGCAATTCAGGAAAATACTGGCACTTATTGAGATGACAAGGTAAATTTTCCTCCTCTCAAAACTCTGGCTGCTTTTGTCAGCACCTCCCGGACTACTGTCTGCACCAATACTTGCCAGGAGAGATGAGGTTCAGCAGAAGACAGCTTCCAGCAGAGACAAATACTCTGTGCTCCACAGTAAGGAGTGCAACATAATAGTGTATCATCTCTGAACATCTTCTGGCCCCGAGCTTAACTCTATGCACAGAGAAACAATCCTGTTAGCAGGGGAATTAAGTTGGCCATCAGTAGCCAAAGGGTTACCACCAGGCTGGACGAGCAGGAGCACAAGTCTAAAATAAAAACAAACAAACAAAAAAACATAAAGCTTATAAATTTTATATTTAAAGAGAAGATAAAATAACAAAGAGAACACTAAAAACCATGAGCTAAAGCAAACTTCTTGACTAAACATTAACTGGTATTTAGTGAATTAAGCTTTTTACCTCCCTCAGAAAGAAAACTGACTCTGATCTTTCATGTGCTGGACTACAACACTAACACTGTCAATGGGAAGTTACACAAGTGAGAACTCACTTTCCACAAGGTGACAGTTTTTAAGATTATAATAACAATATGGCCTTCAAAACACAGACTGGATTTCCTGGTAAATTCCCAGGCTAAAGCTAGATTTCTAGGATGATTACCAGGAGACATGACATGAAGGAGTTATGTTTCAGACACATTCCTCCTGTGTTAGCCACCATTCTGCACAACCGCACAGCAAAAAGCAGGGCACCTTTGCTATCTTCCTCTACCTCCTACACCTGGGATCTTTGAATAGCCATGGCTTCTCTTTCCTGTTCCCAACAGTCAGAGCTGACACAAATCTTTGAAATTTTCAGATATCGAACATTAAAGCTTCACTTCAGCAAATAAGGCAACCTACCAATGGGTGCAGCTCTTGTTAGGTTGGAAGCTGGAGGATCCCGCTCTGGGGGGCAGGAGTCACAGAAGTCTGAA